TTTGGTCTTCATCATCTGATTTTAGTGACTTTCTCCAAAGATAAAGGCAAACCAATCATCAATTAACCTTGAGTACTGCTCAGTATCTCTCCCAGGACCTCTGGTTTTTTTCTTTTATTTTTACTTCAATAGTATCTGCAATAATTTAGAAATCCCTATCTATTTAAAGACATAGCTAAAGATTAAAAAATGTGATTTTTCTACATGTGTACTACATGAGAGACAAAGAAAGATGCCTTTCCAATACAATCAGTCAGTGGCAGTGCTGGACATTAAAATTTTTAAAATTCTGCTTATCTTATCATATGCAGAATTGATGCATTTTTTTACGTGGCCACTTTTAATATTTGAACCCAAGATAAGTGATGTAGTGAGATGATACAATTTTCTTTCATTACCCTCAGTCTTTAAGAATTACACCCTTGCTTTGAAAAGCAGGCATTTTTCAGTGACTCATTAAAATAATCATGAACTTTATTCTCCCTTTTTCTTTGATGATTTTATTTATCTTTAGAGAGGGGAAAAGAGGGAGAGAAATGTCAGTGTATGGTTGCCTCTCGCATGTCCCCTACTGGGGATGTGGCCTTGTAACCCAGGCATGTGCCCTGACTGGGAATTGAACTGGTGACCCTTTGGTTCGCAGGCGGGCACTTAATCCACTGGGCCACGCCAGCCAGGGCTATTCCCCTTCTTTTTGTAGTAGTACTCATGTCCATCAGCCTCTCTTTTAAGAATATCATATAAAATGTTAATGATGCTAATATTAACAAGCATATAAATTGTATAGTAATTCTAAAGAATTTATATAAACTAATACATTAGTGGTCACTTTAGAGAAATATAAAGCAATAAAGTCTGCAAAAGATTGGAATTCCAAAAAGCAAAACCTTTCCCTACATTTCACAAATGAAAAAATCAAGGGACAGGGAAGGTGAGAAAAAGTATTCCCCCCCACCCCCCGCAATCTCCAAATATGTAAGAACTATCATTTATCCAAGAAAATGATGGACTGTTTCTCCCCTAATGGTCCATTTTACTAAAAGTTTGTCCCTTCAGTATATGTGATCCATAAAAAGGCCTGAAGCTATTTTTCAGGTCAGTTTAGTATCAGAAAACTTAACAGTAGCCCTGCTGAGTGCTTCATTATCTGCCACTGCAGTGAGAGCCACAGTTGTGTAACTCAGTGATGCAGGGTCTTGACCTTTGCAATGTCTGTATTGGCATCTCAGTCATTCCAGAAAAGTCTTAAGAGTCACGACCTTGACCATTGGCAGTTTGCTCTTGGCAAAAGAAATCTCAGCTTCCAACAGCTTTCTGAAGCTGGTTAAACAGGTTCCATACACCCTTATTTATTACACACACAAACACATGCAGAGTACATATACATATGGAATAAAGCCGCCTTAAGTTACATGGGTGCAGTATAGCCTTCTTTTAATTTTATTCCCTTTTGCTATTCATCCAGTTATGGTACCAGCTTGGTATATCAGCTACATTACTGGGTATTCACTGAGGCACAAATGCAGAATACAAAACTAATAAGAGAAATGTAGGTTTTAGTTAAAGGGCAGAAAGTGAAGCATCACTAATGGTTAACGGTAGAAATGCTTAGATTCTTTACTTGGCTCTTTTCATTGAATTTCCTTCCTACTGTGAGATTTAATTTAAAATATAAAGGAATTTTATTGCCAGAAAGGTTTACAGAAATTGCTTGCAAAATGTCTTTCTTAGTTTCCAATAAGCACATCCCAGTGTGTCACAGAAATTTTAAAATAGGGGAAAACACACTGAACGCTCCAAGTACAAGCATAGAGATACCTATGTTTCCTTTGGGGGAGGCAAAATTTGGTTATTCTGAGTCATCTAAAGGACTATTGAACTTTATTAATGCAGTTGGATAACATTTAGTTCTGTGATTAGTAATTGAAAGTATTCAACTCACTTTACAAGTACTTTTCTTCAATTACGTGAAATGCCTTTGAAGTAAATTTTTTTTTACACAAGAGTGGTGTGCATGCAGATATACAGGGTGGGACAAAAGTAGGTTTACAGTTGTGAGTATGCAAAACAGTTAATTCTTGTATTATTGTTTATTATTGTATTATTTTCCATACAAACAACTGTAAACCTCCTTTTGCCACATACTGTATACAATAATACCAAGATAACCCTGGTTCCTCAGGGTTTTAGTAACCTTGGTTACTAAAACTTTGTTCTAGCCGTATACTGATTGCCATTTTTCAAGGTTTTGTATATGCTTCTCTAACTCTAGCACCACCCCCCACCCACATCCTTTGTCTTGTTTCAGATGTCTCTCTTCTTTTTAGAAGCTCTTTCTGTCTTTTCATGATCATAATGTGCCCTTTTGTGCCCCTCCAAATTCCTGTACTAATGTTGGAACATTAACTATCAGAAGCTGATAGTTAAGTGCCAGGTGATATAGTGCAGACTAGAAGTATAATTAATAGGAATTCAGAAGTTAAAAGGAGATTATTTGTTAAATTACTTAGGAAAGGCCTCATGGATGAAGGTGTTACTTGAACTGGATGTTGAAGGAAGCATTCATGAAGGTATGGTAATGATCTGCAATTACAGGTAGATTAAACCTGTTGAATATCCATGGATCTAGACCTATGAGGACTCATGCTAGCAACAAAAGCCCTGACGAAAGTGAGATGTTAGACATTACCCAACATTGCTTTTGTGTTATATGAAACAAGCAATGGACACAATTACTTCTGTGGAAGAAAAGCATACGAAGACTACACAAAGGATTTTAAGAACTTAGATGTATTGACAAAAGTGAGAAACAATGATACACTTTGCAGGGGTATCCAACCCGCGGCCTGTGGGCCCTGTAAGGCCCAGGTTGGCTATGAGTGCAGCCCAACACAAAATAGTAAATTTACTTAAAACATTGAGATTTTTTTTGTTTTCTTATTTGTCTATTTAATGTGTGGCCCAAGACGACTCTTCTTCCAGTGTGGCCCTGAGACGCCAAAAGTTTGGACACCCCTGCTGGGGAGTGTAAGGAAATTTTCTAGGGTAATTGTTGACCATGTATGCTATTGGTAATTTCAGAGTTTACCCACCTATATTTACAAAATTCTACTAAACTTCTTATGGAAGATTCAACAACTAGGCAATTTCTAGATACTGGTAAATTACAGAATCTTTCACAAGACTCTTGTATATTGTGTTGGAGAAATGCACTGTGTTTATCTAGAAAAAGACTGGAAATGAGATAACTCCGTGTGGAAAATAACTGCCTGTTTTGCAGTTGTCTTGTGCTCTACCCTGTCCCTCAACTGACAGTAAAAGTGGGACTTTCAGCTCTTCTCTCAATAGTTAATGCTCAATAAGTGTTTGCATGCATAAACAAAATAAGATTAAAATGTAATTCCTGTGTTTGCATTTTCAGGATCTTCTTATGTCTTATAATAGCTATTTAAAAGTAAAAATGCATTTCTTGTTTTATGAAATACATTACTGACTTAAAACTATTTATAAAAGTCTTCTTTGCCTGTTAGGCAAAAATGTTAGACTAATAAAAAATCTCCCCTTAAATTTTGAGAAAAGAGTCTATTCATGTTTAAATAGAAATAAACTCACTTTTGGCTTTCTCTGTGTTTCACTGGCATTTTGGGGTATTAAATTTTAGTTGAAATAATACCACCTCTGATTCCTCAGAAAAATTAATATTTTTTCCCTCAGTTACCAACACATTTTGTTCAGTGTTTTATACCACTTTGAGATGTAGTATATTTACTTTTATTATCAGACTGAGCTCCTTGAAGATGATGGCAGGAATTATAAGAATTACAAACCTGTTCAGACTCCCAGCAAGTTCTTCCTGAGCTGTCCTCCTCTTGCATGGGCTTTGTTTCTGCTACTCAGTTTCATCCAGTTGGTGCTCCATGTCTGAGCTTCCCAGTTGGGGATATATATACATACTTATATACTATCATTATTGTGGTGATAGCTTCACAATGTATACATATATCAATATGTATTAAATTACATAATTTAAACATGTGTAGTTCACTGAATGCACATTATACCTCATTAAAGCTGTTTAAAAGATTCCTTACATGAAGCCCTCCATCAATAGGTCATTATTACTTCAGTAAGTCCTATGTCTCCAACAACTGTTTAGACTTTGCACTCCTCATTTGTTCTTCTAAGGTCCTCTCTTGGCCTGTGTCTCCCAACCTCACTAGTCCTTTTGCCTCTGTTCTTGTCCCCAGCCTCCATCATCCTCCATTCATGCCAGAGCCACTCTCTTTGGAGGAGAAAAATCTTATGATTATAGGCTCCAGGTATTATTCTTAAGCTGCTCCTGTGTGCTGGAAGCTGTGGCTGGCAGAGGGGTCAACACACACAGGCAGGACACATGGAGCCTCTCTGTTCTCTCCGTGCTCAGAGTCTGATGGGCCACACATGAACATCAACTGTAGGTGTGTATCCCCAAGATTACAGAGGAATTGTCAAATAGATATACAGATACTAGTATAAATGAAGGTTGGTTAAGCTCAGCAAATTCCAATGAAAAGGTATTAGGCACTCTGTTGGTGTTTCTGAAAGTGCACCCAAAAGATCATAGCATAAGAATTACTTGAAGTACTGGTTTAATTTCCCTCTGAAACAGAGTTTCTGGGGGATGGACCCAGATATCTGCATTTTAACAAGCTTTTACACCCCTGTGTCGCACCACGGTAGAAGTACTAGAATGGTGGTAAGAACTTAGCTGGAGGAATCCAGGGTAGGAGGGTTAGAAGTAGGAGGGCAGTCGAAGTTGATCTTCTGGGCAGTGTGCTTCCTTGCGTTGAAGAGTTGGAAATGTTTTGGTCTTCAGGTAGCATTTTCCTAATGGAGCCAGGTATATCTATTTAATAGTTTAGAATTAATAAGGTGTATATTCAAGTTTTATAATTTCTCTGTTGGATGAAAATTGTGTGCCTTAATTTTAAAGTTTTGATTAAATTTTTCTTTTTCCACAGAACTCAACAAAAATCCAGTGGAAGGCTTTTCAGCAGGTTTAATAGATGACAATGATCTCTACCGATGGGAAGTCCTTATTATTGGTCCTCCAGACACACTTTAGTAAGTACAGTGAAACTGACATCAAAATGGAGCTCTTTTAACTAATTAAAATGTAAACTATTTTGGCAAACTGAAGTGAAATTATTTTTTAAAAAGCAGGTGACATGGCTATGTTTAGTATCATTTTTATGGAATGATCACGTCTAGGGTTTTTGTGTCCTGCTTGGAACTCTAGTGTCTCAAACCTGTTCCTTTCTTAAATATGTGATAGTTTCAGAAATTCAGATATTCTTAATACCTGGGATAAATTTATTATAGAGGATCTATCTATAAGGTGAGGTTGTATATAAATAATACATTTTTTAAATGTTGTATCCCAGAAATTGTATTCGTTTTTGTCAGGATAGAGAAGAAAATTCTTTGTTGAAATGTTTCTCTTTCCCTTGTGCTTTATGTGCCTTGCCTCCAAAGGGAACATTGTAATTTTAAAGAGGCTTTATCATTCTTAACATTCTGTCATCTTAATTAAAGCATATTATTAATCTGGGAGATTTCACACAGAGCATAGTGTACACATCAGTGTCTTAAGCAGGCTGGAAAAAACTTTCAGGATCATCAATTTTAGTGGATCTCTAATTAGGTTCCCACAGAATATTGGTTAGAACCGAGGTGTTCTCACCCTAAAATGAACTCAAGATCATCTTTTCCCAGTTTATAAAAGTGACTGTTACAGTTAGTCATTTTTAGTTAATCACTATTAACTAATGTAAAGAGAGACAACAAGATGTAGTATCAAAGAGCAATAGAAAAAGGGAGATGGAATTTCTTAAATATTTTATATAATACATTTCTAGATTCAAAGACTACAGTCTTATTGTCTGCTCCAATTGTTTACAGACTAACTTAAACATACTAATATTTAATGTTCTAGAAGAGGGATCATGACTACTTTGTATCTGACTGGTACAAGTTCCATATTTTTTATAGAATTTGAGGTATTGAAAGAAAATGTAGTGATCTTCTCAAAGCCATGCAGCTGAAGGGGAGTAGGGACAGATCTAGATCTGAGTCTCTTGGGGACTATATTTCCTTAGTCAGCTGTGGTCCTTGATGGTAAAAAGCAGGCAAGGATTTAGATGCATCAGACATTTTTTCTGATGGTCAGGTAGTTTCATTTTAGGTGTTCTAAGATGGTAACTCCTTTTCACCCCATACAATACATGATGGAAAAGAAAACTCAGAGCTATTTCTGTACCAGAGTAGACTGATATGTGACATATAGAGTTAAGCTATAGTGTGGATTTTTGGGTTAGTCTGAAAAAAATTGTGTTTTGTCATATATATTGCCAATCAAAATTTTTGTTGGTATATTTCCCAGTGGAATGCTTGCATTGTAATAGTTGCAAACTAAAATAACTCAGGTTAAAATAATTACTATGTTAGTTTGGTAGATAATAGTAGCCATTGAAAACCATTCTATAAGTATTTCCCCACAATCTTAATATTATTTGAAAGCTTACTTTTAAACCAAATTTTGTACACTAAACCACACACATAACCTGGTTTATGAACCTGATGAAGTTCAGGTCTATTCTAGGTTTTGCAATCAAAACACAGTGCATGAAGGTTTACTCAGGGAAACACAGCAATATTGCAGTGATAGAACCTTGTTATTCTAACGGTTGACATGAGATAATAAGAGAAATTTTTCTAACCTGATGTTGTCTGTACAGAAGATTGGTTAGGCATCTAGGCTTGAGTTCCATCTCTAAAGACCTCACAGAATTCTTAAAACTTTATTTTATGCAGTGGTGGCAAGTGTCTCTACATGTTATTAGCTGGTCCATATATTTTGTGTACCTTCATCTTCACCAAAGAAAACCACTTTTTAATACCATTTTAATAATTAACAGACAGTTATTTCCACCAATAAAAACCTATTTCTGGCCTTCAGTATACATTTCAAAAGTGCTGGCTGTTTGATACGAGATGTGGATAGCAGAAGTATATGTGGCAGCAATTTTGGAGTATGGACCTACTGACGAGACAATTGGCAGCCCCTTCCACACTTTCCCTTCCTAATGAGAGCACTGGTGGCACCTGCACTATAGTTTAATCTTACTGCCATTGGTACTTGGAACATCCGATGAGTAGTGAGGATGTTATGTCCGTCAACTTAATGCAGTTGACGGACTTAATGCAGTTGACGGACGTAACAGTCATCCAAAATTACCTGGATCTCATTCCTTTTTATTAATGATCTTTTCTAATTCATGTGCTGGAAGTTATAAAATAGTTTTTAAAACCCTCAAAAAAGAGGCTTAAGATTTATTGAGTTTAGGCCATCCCTTTTGGCAATGTCCTACTTAGAACAGTTGCAAAAATAAAGCATTACATTGACATTTACACTACTCATTCATTTAGTTCTCAAATATTTTTTGAGTACTCTTACATTAGATGCTGGGAGCATGTATAGTCACTGCTCCCAAAGAGCAGTTGATAAAACAGTTTATTGCATAGTCACTTAATAGACTGTGATGGTAGTAGCTATGATAGAGAGAGACATAGGGTATTATGAGGAGTCATTGGGAACATGACAGGTTTTGAATGTGTTGGGGAACATTTCCCAGGGGAAAAAGATGTCTAAAATGGGAACTGAAGAAATAGTAACTCTATTTGTTATTAGGAGTTTTCGCTAAAAACAACAGAAATCTGATTTTAACTGATATTAGAGTACTTTGAATATGTTGCCCTGACACAAAATGGTTAATAGCAGTGTGAGCATTTCAGAATATCACCCAAAGAAAGAAGTTAATTTCTTCAGCAGACTCTGCTTCTTGTCTCATTTGTCAGAATTGAGTGACTTGCTCATTCCTTACCCATAACTGGCAAGGTGAATGAGATTGCCACATCTGGTTTAGATTAATTATTCTGGGATGGAAGAGATTTTGGACTGTCAACAGCAAGGTAAGAATTAATTTAGACAGATATTCTGGAAATGACAGTGAGTGGTGGGGGTAAGTGGAAGGGAACCTAGGGATTAAGTATTTCATAGGGAAAATACTTAATCTGGTACAGAGGGCCTGGAAAAAAGGGTTGGAGCACAAGGGTGTGGCATCCGAGTAAAGTGAATGTAAAGAATTTGAAGAAATGAGGTTGGGTAGGGAGTTAAGGGCTAGTTGACATTTACAGACTACTGTTAGAGTTTGAATTTGTCTTTTGTCCTAAGGACAAAACAACAACCATCAGAAGTTACTGGTTAAATTTATATTATAGAATGTATATTGAATTACTAAGTATTACAATTTTGGGATTATGGATTTTATTTTCCCTCAATTTATGTATATTTTATTTCTGCAACAAATGCATATTTTTAACAATGTTATTTTTTAAATTTCTTTATCTATAACATAAAAAATGGACTGGGGGTTTGAGGGCTGCCCATGGCTGCTTGAAGTAGGGAGGTTGCCAGCCTTTGTTTAGGGAATAGAGAGCATAGGGGCCTCTGCTCTCTAGGGCAGGACCCTGAGAAAGGCAGAGGGAGTTAGCCAGGAAGTTATAAGGAGAGGAAAGGTTTTAAAGAAGATTTCTAAAATGCTACTAAGAATCCAGTGTCAAAAAATCAAATATTTAATAGTCTTTGTTGATTTAACAGTAAGGAAATTACTGGTGTTCTTGTAGTTATTTCAGTGGAGTGACGAGGGTAGGGGCTAGGCAGATGTTGGAGTGCTGTTGGAGTGAATACACAGAACTTAAAATAAACAACTGCCCAGGAAGAGAAACAGAGGCTGATAATGGATGTGGGGGTGGGAGGGAATATACGATTGAAAGTAAGTTAATGTGGGCTTAGATGGTATCCAGGCCTAAGTGATTAATTCACCACTTAATAATTAGCTAATTTATGTAATAATAAAAGAATACTATACTAAAGTTCTTTAAAAGCTGGTGTGATATTTCATGGTGACAACATTAGCCTTCATATAAGTCACTAGAGGGCAGTCCACACTCTTTACAATCTATGTAATCAACTAGTATATATAAGCATTACTTTATTTGAGACTGAAAGTTACCATGAATATTAATTTATCCATTATAGTTATCGTTACACAGTATTGAAAATTTTTTTCTTTATTTTTGTTGACACCATTGTATATGCCCCCATTTGACCCTTCTTGCCTCCTTCCTCTGAGCCTATGCTCCACTTCAATATTGAGTTTTTATTACTTCTCTATTAATCTTTCTAGTGCTGTTAAGAATTCTTGAGGCTTTCTGTGAAAGACATTTTAAAACCAGTATGATATACCTGCTGTTTTTAGATGACTGATTATCAAGTAGTGTGTATAGCTACCAATATTTACAGAAATGAAGTATTCAGGTAAGAGTGGCAGTAGGTTTTTAAAAAAAGTCTCAGACCCAGATAGCACTGAGTAATCCTATGTTTATAAATTTGTGAATGGTGAGTGTACAACTTCTTTTATCTCTTACTCTCTTCTTTTTTCATCACAAATGACTAGTCAGTTCAAGTTATGTGCTGTTTTGTTTCTTACCACTGGCAATGGTGTAAAAAATTTGGAAAACCATAAGATTATGTGTATTTTCTAGTATTGCCTTATCTTGAGAGGATACAGAAAATTAAGAGTTGGTTAATGAAATTTCTGATTCAAGAAATTTTTTTTTTGTTTGTTTAAGACTGAGAAGCACAAACCATATATTCTGTAATGAAATTTTGGAGAGAATGAACCTTTTGCATGTATTGCTTAGAAGTTGATTGATCACTGGCAGTGCCATGTCATTTATCATGTAGTGCTTAAGAACATGGGCTTTGGGGACTATCTTTGTGTAGCTCCCTGACTGCCATTTTTATTAGTTGTGTGACTTTGAATAATTACTTAAACTTTGTCTTAGCAGTTTCATCTCTAGGTTAAAAACCCTGTGCCTTGGAAGTGTTTGGAATAATCAATGTATTGCTTGTAATAGCAAAAAAAGTTGGAAGCAATCAAATGTCTTATGATTTTAATGGATAAATTGTGGAATGTGGCAGGTAAAATGAGTAAGAGACA